TAAGGGGTGGTTCACCCTTCTTGCTTCTTAGTTTGTAAAGTTTTTGTGCATTTGTTCACCACTTTCAAACCACCTTTTTTTAGGCCTTTTAATCACTGAATTTCAGAGGTTTTTCAATGACAAAAAACTCATTTTGAAGTCCAAAATTAGAGGTGTTAGCCTCCCCTCCTTGTGTCTTGTTTGCATGCCTAGTTAGCCCCATGTGTTAGACAAACCCGCTCAACACATCCTATAACTCACATACAAAGTAAGAAAGGATGTAAACAAGATAATAAGCAACTACCAACATCCACGGACACATGTCCGGATCACTATACAACAAGGGTAAACCCGGGATCGCTATATAGCCCCATGTATTAGCTTAATGTTTTAGCTTTTTGTGGCTCGAGTCCAACATGTTTTGAACTTTGTTTTGAACTGTTTTGCCACTGTTTTGGCTATTTGGTGCCTTTTGAGTCTTGTTTTGCATAGTTGTAATGTAAGTCCTTTTACTAGCTTGGTATTTTAAGGCTTTAACCATCATTGATTTGAGTTGATTGCATGTTTTAGTGCTTTTTTTCTCACTTAATTTCAGCACTTATAATCTCTACAATCTCCCTCATTTCTTTACTTTTCATTTTCTTTGAAGGTTGTTTCAACCTTAGGGTTGTTTAAGCTTGAGATGGAGGCTCATGCTTAATGGTTTAATTTTCCTTTGAGGGTTCATTACCAACGGCATGAAGCTTCTCTTATGCCTTAAACTATCCCTTGGTTGACACTTCTTTCACCTTAGAAGACACTCATCAATGGACTAATTGATTAAAAAATGATTTGGTAATTAAAATGTGTAAACAAAATCGACAAGTAAAAGAGGCAAGATAAACATTCTTTGTGTTGCATTGCATGTGTTCAAATCGGACGTTAGTTTGAACACAAGGAAAATGGAATATTTCATACTCAAAAGTGATGAAATATGCCATTTTCCTAGGTCTCCATTGCCCTTGATCATGCATAATAGGGTGATGGTCATTTGAGTCTTGTTTTGCATTCATTAACTTGTATAAACTTGGTTCTTTGGCCATCATGCAATGAAATTGCTTGGTTGATGGTTTGAGAGTCAAGGGTGTAACTCCTTTGAACTGGTTTGATGATAAGGAGAATAACAGTACGAACAAACCTTCAAAAAGTACACTGTTTTGCTCTGTTTGCTCTCTGTTGCAGCAAAGAAGTCCAAGCCACCATTAGTAGTCGACCGGGCACCATTATTGGCCGACCGACCATCAGCAATGACCGACCGGCCCCCCTGTCGGTCACCAATGCAAATTCAACAGTGTGCTCCTAAGACAAAATAGAGTTGATCTGGAGAAGGAGAAAGTGTAAGTATTTATTTACAAACAGAGGCGTTCAACTGTAAAACAGTGACCTTTCGAGTGGAAATCGAGCACGTGCATGAGCCTCTCTTGCATTTCAAGCTTATTTAACGTTTAAATATCTATCTTAAATACATGTTGTAATTAATTAGTTTTAACTAATTAAGAGTTATAAATAATTAGTTAGTTTAGCTAGTTATTCGATTTCGTTTTGTAATTAGTTAACTAGAATAGTTAATTAATTCGAGTTTTGTAATAATTAGTTAGCTTAATTGGCGTAGCTAGTTGGTTAGTTTATTCATTTGAACCCTTCTTTGCGAGAGCGTAATGTTGTAATAAGTGTGCGTGCGTGTGTGTGTGTCTTCCAACCCCATGTCTTTCTCCTTTTTATTTAATCGCTTTTAATAGTTAGATTAGGGACATGTTCCGACTAGCATATCGCATGCTTGCATCCATTTATTCGTATTGCATACACCGAGGCTCGGCGCATTATTCAAATTGCATCGCTATTCCAATACTTCTTTGAATACGTGTTTAATCGCATGTTGTTCAAATCGATCCATATGCCATATTAGTAGCCGAGCCTATTAATTGCATATTACATGTGTTGCATTAGACACTTAATATAGTTAGGAATCATGCATATTTCTAACCCATATCTTCTTAGCTTAGAGTACTATGTAAGTTTTTATTCTTTAGCATTTGCATGAGTGTGAATATTGCCATGATTAGCATGCTTGCCATGAGGCTATGTGCTTAAATGCTAAACTGCATGAATGCCTGTGGATGAAGGCTTGTTGTTTGAATTGGAACGATTCAACAAATGTGCGTTTTAAGCCTACTTTGTTGAATGACAAATCATATTTTAAGCCTACTATGTTTGGTGGCAAATCCGTAACTTTAAGCCCAATTAAGGTGGCAAATTCAAACCATTTCCGCAAACAAACATGAGTTGAATTGTTCCAAATTAAGCAAATTAGTCTATACTTGCTTGTGCACATCATATAGTAAAGCTAGTTTAATAAATCGGAATAAAAACACATAATGCTTATAAAAAAATCATATCATGATTAGTAGAGGCTGATCTTTGATCGGGCGAGCGGGGGTGTTCAATTCATGACCTTCCTCTCTCGTATCTAAGTTCCCGAGCCGAGACAACTGTGGTAATGACGGACACGTGGCCTTTGGTACGAGTCAGGGTTTCCTAAATTTCCCCAAAACAAAAAATATTTATGTGATGACTCTGTATCTGGCAAAGCAGTCCAATTTTGACATTATTTGATTTAAAATCGATTTTCCAAAATGATTTGCCGAATTTGGACTCTTTGGTGTTTATCAGTTTCACATTGCACTTGTGAGATTAGATTCAGAATTGCGAGAGTTCAAACTGTGAAGCCTTTCTTTCGAACCTTCCGAAAGGGGGCGCGAAAAAGGCGAGCCACATTCACCGGCGACGTCTTGTTCCGATAGGAGATCGGTGACAAAAGCCTGAGAAAGATCAGTGAAGAAACCCTAGCAGCTTGTTTTGTCAATATCTCTAATCGATGGACGACTGGTGGTTAGTCGGTGGCAAAACAACGATGGAAGTAAGGAGGTGAGAAGAAGAGAGAGAGGAAAATGGAGGGTTTGTTTTGGTGAGGACGGCGACGACAAAACGACAAGATGGCGATGGTGATAGTGATGGCGATGACGATGGCAACACGGTAGTAGAGGACGGCTATTGCAGGCCATTGGCGGAGTGAAGGACAGTGACGCCGACGACAATATGGTGGTGGTAGAATATGAGATGAAGAGAGAGAGAAAGAGAGAGAGAGATATGGTCTTTTGCTTTGTGTACTATATAACACACATATATATACATGAGTAGTTTGGTTTTTTTATATGAGCTTGTCTTTATGGATAAAGAAAATTAATGCCTGGAATTTTTAACAATGAAAATGTAATTTTGAACTTTTAATTCAATGGGTATTTATTCATAAATCTCTTTTTATCTACTTATGTTCCACTTAGTTTAAATTATTTTCTTATGTTCTATTAAGGGGTTGTTTGGGGTGTCTTAAATAAGTGCACTTTTTGTTTTTTTGGACTAAAAAATTGAGAAAAAAAAATATGAATGCTTGGGTTAACTTTTTGACTTTTTATGGAAAAATGTGTATTAAAAAATTATATAAATTAGTGTGTAGGGGAAAATTAGGATTGGGAGTTGTGCAGCCGTAATTGTTGACTTTTGGTAATAATGTTAATTTTTTAATTTTTTGAGTAACTTTTTGACTTTTTATGAATTTGCCAAACTTGGCCTAAGTCTTATGGTTGACATAATTATCAAAATATCCCTAATAATAATAAGGTGAAAGTGTGAATATTTCATGATGTGAATATTCACACTGCCAACGTGAACATTCACACTGTAAAATTTATTTAATGTGCGTGTTAACATCACTAAATTGTTAAGGGTTCAAAAAATATTTGTAAGGGTAAAATTGTCTATAAAATACCTTAAATATAAAAATTAGGATTTGATAGATCAAATGTCCAAAATAATAAGACTTATTAAGATATAATAATATCTTATAAACTAATTAAGATATAAATGCTTAAAAAAAAAAATTAATAAATTAAATTTAATAAATTTCCCTTACTTCAAACGCTGATGTATTTTTAAAAATCCAACGCTGATGTATTTTTAAAAATCCAAAATCAAACAGATTTTAAATTTTAGATTGAAAATTAAATTAAAAAAGTAAACCAAAGGGAGCCAATCAGTGTGTTTGGTTTGAATTTTTTGGATTAAGTTTTTTGAAAATTGAGTTTTTTGGTTTTCGAATTCTTTTGTTTTTAGTGAATATTTTTTAAATTTTAAACATTTTTTTTTACTTTTTTAGATGCACCTTAGATGTATCTAAAAAGTAAAAAATTTGTGAAAAAATAATTTAAAAAATTAATAAATACATAGAAATACAAAAAATGTACTGAATTCTTGTAAAATGTACTAAATTTTTATATTTTTTTATATTTTTGATATTTAGTAAAGTTTTAAAAGATTTTTTTATAATTTTTTATTTTTTAGATTTATTTATGTTAAGTATGTTTAAAAAGTAAAAAAATTATTTAAAATATTAAAAAAATTCAATAAAAATAAAAAAACACAAAAAATAAAAATATAAAATAAGTGTCTTCTGACAAATAAAAACAACCAAGCTGAATAATTTTGTAGCCAACATTCAAAACATTCCTATTCCTTCTCTCATCCTTTTGTGAATTCTAGGCGTTTCACCGTTACAGCCTAGAAATATCCGTTGTCCATGGTTTGGCATAACCATCCTCTGGCATTAAAAAACACAAAAAATAAAAATATAAAATAAGTGTCTTCTGACAAATAAAAACAACCAAGCTGAGGCACCGTTTGGGAAGAAGTTGGTTGGGCTTTTTTGGCTATTTTAGTCACAAAAAACAAAATATGCTATTTTAGCCATAACAAACAAAACATCACATCCAACCCATAATCATTACACTCTTCTCTCACAAAAAAAGCCAAAAAAGCCAAAAAGCCAAAAAGCCCTTCCCAAACCAAACTTTTTAGCCCAGGCTAAAATAGCCAAAAAATCCAAAAAGCCAAAAAACCAACCCACTCCCCAAACGGAGGCTGAATAATTTTGTAGCCAACATTCAAAACATTCCTATTCCTTCTCTCATCCTTTTGTGAATTCTAGGCGTTTCACCGTTACAGCCTAGAAATATCCGTTGTCCATGGTTTGGCATAACCATCCTCTGGCATTGTCGGTCTGTGGCACCGCTCTAGTCACCATCATCCTCCTAACAATCCAGACCTCTCTCTATATGTGAAACCCTAGAGATTGAATTCATTCAAATTCTGGTTATTGATCTTGATCTTCGCAGGCGACGACGATGACTATGTCGCCGGCGATTCAGACCGATCTCATTCAGCCCCAAAATGCATCATTGGAAGAGGACAATAAGAAGAAGCAAATGGACGCTGAGCCCTTGCTTTCTAGGGCTTCGTGTTTCAACAACAACAACCACCATCAAACGAGGCGCAGAGCCGCCGCGAAACTGTCGTCGCCGCCCCCCAGTCGGCAGCAGTCTTTTACTCGCAACATTGGGCACGCTGCGGCTGAGACCTATCTCATCACTGGGCTTGCCTTCAAGCTCCTTGGATACCTCGGGTACAATTTCATTTCTTTTTTCTGGTTGCTGATTAGTGTGCTTTAGCATGATGTGACAGAATTATCTGGATCTCTTTCTTGTGTGGGATTTGAAGTTTTAGTGGTTTGGAACCTGAATTTAGGACATACATAATTCAAATAATTGTTTTGATTTTTATGCAAATTTTGTTTGTTTTGAAAAATTGCATTGATATGGAGTGAAATATGGGGAGAATTTAAATGGGTTTGGTTCTTGAAGAGCTAACGGAGAGGAAAAGAAATTGCTTTAATAATTATTTGAGATGCCTTCCATTTTCGTGCTCCTTGAATTATTTTCTCACCCCTAATCTTGCTGTTCTTTTGAGAGCCAAAGTGGGGCTCAGTTTAGTTGTTCAGGTTCCTAATCAGGGTTGCTTTATATTTTCCCCGAATTACCCATGTCCATCGGATATGACAAAGGTGTGGGATATGTGCCTGTCATTCGTATCCAATTTAGAGAGTTGGATCTTCTAACTTTTTGATGTTTGAAAATATGAAATTTACATTTGCTAGTAAAGAAATATTTATAGTCTCTTACATGGATGAGATGAAAGATAGAAATTTCATAGTTTATCTAAATTTTTTTAATTTCAAGTACTTTTCTACATAATTTAGATTTTCTCTAAAAATATTAGACAATATGTAATATACATAAGTGTCCCGTATCCATATCCAACTTTTTGGATACATGTCCCAATATCCTAAGAGTTAGGTTTATAAAGGAAGAAATTGACAATTCCATACTGGGAACTCCTGTGGATGATAGAGGAGAGAGCACAACCCTATGGATACTGAGGAAGGATTGAGGTATGAAATGGAATTTATGGAATAGTTGCTGTTATACCAAGATGATGAAACCAGGAACAATATGGAACTAATAATATTTGAAGACAAGTGATAGATTCTGGGTGATGAAATTACAATTAATTGGAACAATATGGCAATTTCTAGGAAAAAAGTAACAAAAGGGGTTCTTTGGAGCAGGAAAGTAACGAGTTTGGTGGAACAATTCTAGGATACAAGCTGTAATTGGCGTGCGAAGTGAGGAATTTTAGATGTAGGAGTTTCAATACAACAAAAGATAGAATACAAATGAATTGATTCGAGTAACTAGTGGGCATTCTGAAACTATGACCAATAGATGCACCAATTAGATGTAGTGATTTGAGATTAAGTTGAATGTATTGCAAGGACAAGAGACAGGCTGCATAAATTATAGAGCGCATGGTTGATAGTGTAAGAGATGATATGATGCACCAGAAAGTTTTCCATAACTGGTTTTGTTGCGTGTCACAATTTTCTGTTGCCTTTTGGTGGAAACACTGAAATTTCATGCTGGAAATTTGTGTTAATGTATATAATATGATAATGGTGTTGGTGGTAGATAGTGGCATGTATATAATATGATAGTGGTAGATAGTGGTAATATATAATATGTAAGTGGCATATAATGGGTTATGATGATGTTTGTAATATCTCCTATATAAGGAGTGTCATTTGGTCTTGTAAGATAAGAAGTTTTGAATATAACAGAAATATATTCCTTCTTCCTCATATTTTCGGAGTTTTTCTTCCTCATAGTTTCTAAGTTTTCATTATTCCAGTAGTGTTTCATTTAGGTGTCTTAGGAAATTGTAACTTTTTGGCCATTCAATGAAAACAAAAGGAAATTTTGTTCCTTGCTTGTGTGTCTCATACAAAAGTTCATGTTCTCTTACTTTCCATTGGAACCAGCAGAACTAAGTGGCTTGTTCAGTGGAGAAACCTATTATCATTACTTTATATAATGAGTTCCAACTAATAATTTGGATAGGAGGGAGTAGTTTTTGGGCCTTTGGCTGCTTCACAGTCTGCTCATATTTTAGGACCTGAGCCTGTATAGGTTATGGTTATGGTTATGGTTATGGTTATGGTTATGGTTATGGTTTTGTAATAGCTAAATCATTTGGAAACCATGTGTGCCACAATTTGGAGTCTCTTCAAGAGATGAGATTGAAAATGTGAACAATCTCTTGCCACTATTGTTCTTCTCCTATTTTTTGCTTGGCTTTGTGCCAAATCTCGTATGACCTGGGTCATGCCTATGGCCATGTGTGGTTCAGTTGGTATTCCAGGGAAAAAATTGGTGGAAAAAAAAAAAAAAAAACATTTTCATTGTCCCAAAAATTAACTTTTAATATTTTCTTTATTTGAAGTGCTACCTAATCGTTTGGTTTTGTTCAGGGTAGGCTACCGGTGGATCCTGCAACTTCTTGCCCTTTGCTTTTATGCCATGCTACTTTTGCCAGGCTTTCTCCAAGGTGTGTTTCTGGTGATGTTGTCTGCATGATATTTTATTGATTAGTTGCAAGTTGGGTTGGTTTTCATTGAAATCTTGATCATAGATAATCTAGTATTGGACCATAGGCTAAATTAACTAGTGGAAGTTAATTTAGCCTATGGTCCAATACTAAATTATCCATGATCAAGATTTCAATGAAAACCAACCCAACTGGACCAACCTAGATAAAACAGTTGACATTATATGAAAATGTTATGCATGATTATTTTACCTTCTATTCAGAGTCTGTCTGTGTGTTTCATCCAACTTTAGGTTGAGTTTTGTACATCTTACAGTTTTGTCATGGGATTTAGCCTCTTGTATCCAGATTAATGGAAGATTTTCAATCTTTGACAGTTGCATATCACTATTTCTTTTCAAGCCAAGTCCGCCGGAGTGTTGTTTATGGGGATCAACCTAGAAACAGGTATTTGATCTTGAGATTCTGGTTTTGTGTTCCATTTTAATATTTAAAAAACTGTCATGATACTTTTAGTAAATGTGTTTGTGCCATTGATTGTTTTTGCAATTTTGAGCAGGCTGGATCTATTTTTACCAAAAAACAGTGATGGCCCAAAGCCAGTTTTGGCATTTGTAACTGGTGGAGCTTGGATTATCGGGTGAGCAAGAGAGCTAGCTTCTCCATGATGTACTACTGAACTTGACATATAACATTTTATTGTTATTGACCTACATTGAATACTGGAAACTACACTGGTACTCCATGCATCTACTAAAGCTTGTAGTTTGCTTCATAGTATCTTATTGACAAAATGGGGTGCAAAGGCCTTGAGAATATTGCTTAATTTTAAATCTTTTTAGTGGAATGAGTTTCTTCTGGATAATGTGGTTGAATTGATCTTCCCTTTTAGTTACAGTGACTAAGACAGCCAGACGTGTCTGGAATTCAAATGCATGGCATGTCTTTTTGAACTGGTAGCGACCTGACCGATATTTGTCTGGAATTGTATCTCAGAAACACAAGGGGCTGTTGAGTAATTTAAAAAATACTTGGGGTATATGAACGACACTCAGTTGAATGCAGACATGACATCTGTCTACTTTATATATTATGAGAAACTTCAGTTATTTTAATTACAGAAAATTGGGGTGGGAAATCAAATGCACGGTCACTCTTTCAAGTGATAGTAATACCATCTAGGCTGGAAATTCTAATATTTCAGACTAGAAACTTTTAGGGATTATTTAGAGGTAATTGTAGCTCACTCTTTGAAGTTCATTTTGCACTTCAAAACTAAAGTAAGTTATGAGGTAAAAGCTTACTAAGACAAATCCAAGCTTTGTTGGTTCTGGACAGCTTTTCAAGATAGAATATGTACATCTAAAAATATTAGATTTAGCCATGTCTGATAGCAAGAACAATTACTAACTTACAATTTTTGTGATCAGATTTAGTGTTGATCATTATTATTATTATTTTATTAAATTTATTTATTTATTTAATTTTTTATTGTTTGAAGTTGAGGGTCTGTCTTATGCTTGAATGGCTAATGTTCATGTTGTGCTGTTAAAAGTGACAACATTTGACTTCGTAGCCACAGAAATTTCTAACCATATATAAGCATGCATTTTTGTCACTTTACTACTGTTGATGGCTGAAATAATTCCCTTTGCACCATATGAAACAATCTTCATTTGTAGCATTGAAGTCTGTAGTTTTCTGTCTGCAGGTACAAAGCATGGGGTGCTCTTCTAGGAAAACAGTTAGCAGAAAGAGACATCATAGTAGCATGCATTGATTACAGGTGATTTTTTCAGTTCAAGCACTACCATGCTGTAGTCCATGTTCCACATATCTGTGTATGCTTTTTCTAACAAAGTTGAAGTATACTGACAGACACATGGATGCTGTTGGACTGACACTTGTACACACACCTTCTTTTTTATTTTCTTCTTTTTTTAATCCTTTTTTATGCAAGAGATGTGGTTTCACACCAAACTGCTCATTTCTTCATTAATAATTTATTCACTGTAGATATTATAGAAGCAATATGATTTACCTTTGAAGTGGATGTCCATAATTAGTGAACACTGTTAATATCAGAAAGTGATGAAAGTTATTGGATTCCTTGTTCACCAACCTCTGGAATAATGTCCTGTGCCTTGGTCATTATTCCTTTTTTGTTGATTTGTACATTCAAATGATCGTTTAATTGTGTTGAATTTGGCATTGAAATTGATTGAAGTTTGCATTTTACCTTGTTGCCTAAATGATCAGGCTTCAGGCCATCAAAATCAGCTGTACGTTCATTTGATAAAAGTTCTACATACTACTGTACTAGTCACATTTTACATGTCTAATGCCAATCCACGTGACATAATCTTACAGTTGACATGTGAGTGCAGAAATTTTCCTCAGGGGACCATAAGTGATATGGTTGAAGATGCTTCTCAAGGGATATCATTTGTGTGCAACAATATTGTTGAATATGGGGGTGACCTTAACAGGTATGAGAGTCATTTGTTTGTTATCATATGCTTTCTGATCTTCCACTATGTCATGCTCTCTGCATTGCATGCTCTCATGTAGGATTTACTTAATGGGGCAATCAGCTGGTGCGCACATTTCTGCATGTGCTCTCTTGGAACAGGCAATTAAAGAATCCAAAGGAGGGAGCATCTCTTGGAGTGTCTCCCAGATAAAAGCCTATTTTGGATTATCTGGCGGGTGAGTATGATTATTAGTGGATGTTAGTTATTGTTGCTGTTGAGAAGCTTATTTGTAAACTATGACGTTTCTTGTTCAGTCTTGTGCTCAGGTCCTTTTTAAAGCTTATTTTTTATGTTTCTATTTTGTTCAGTTTTTTATTGCATTCTTCGTAGATCAGCAGCCATAATAGACCATGACAATTAATTATTTGACATTGGATTACGTATTTCAACATTTCCTTCAACTTCCAGGTACAACATACCCAACTTGGTTGATCACTTCCATGGTCGAGGCCTCTATCGCTCCATCTTTCTAAGGTTCCAAACATTATTATTTTTTTATGACGCTGCTACCATCACATAATATTATTAAATTTTGAATTTTTTGATTGTGTCATGCTTATTGCCCCATAGAACTAATGTGTTGTTATATCATTACAGCTTAATGGAAGGGGAACAATCATTGCAACATTTTTCTCCTGAAATTAGGATACAGGACCCAAGCCTAAAAAGTGCTGTTGGTATGCTGCCCCAACTTATTCTTTTCCATGGAACTGCAGATTATTCCATTCCATCAGATGAAAGGTTTGAATCCTTCCTAAAGCTTGCCAACAGTTTTTTTTTTCTTTTCTTGCAGGTTATTATACCTCCTCCGTTGTAGTAAAGCTACTTAACCATCTCCACTTTCATGCATAACAGACATTTTTTAACAACATTTTGTAATTGCCATTTTTAAGTTGTGATTTTGCAATCATGACTAAGTCCCACATGGCCTAGGTACAAAAGTATTGTGCATTATATAAGTGTGAGGGCACCCTCACATCAACAACCAACTTTTGGGGTTTGAGTTCTACCCAAAACTATGCAAACATGGTATCGGACCTCAAGTTGGGAAAGGTCTTGGGTTGAAGTCTCTCCGTTTTCATTTGCTACCCGTTTGCATTCTATCTTCACTATATCTATGGATAGCTGGGGGCATTCTCCCTTGTTCATCTCCACGTGTACGCAAGAGAGAGTGTCGGATAGCTTGATTTATATTGTTGGATCCATTTACCAACAACTTGAGCTTTTGAGACAACTGGTGACTTAAAATGATCAAAATACCCAAATTATATTTCACACTCCTCACAGTTGTCAAATGTGAAAGTTTGCATTGTCAAGTGGCACTATCATTCCAAAAGAATTTCAAACTATTTCATCTCTCAAGATAAATTATAGAGCCAACAAAATCATGAACTGAGCATATTACTTGCATGTGTCTCCTTTGATGTAAACATTAATTTTTAATCATTACACTGGTTTTTTCTTCTTCTTTAAATTTTCTTATGCGGGGGGTCCATTCTATTCGTTTTCCTTCTGTGCTATTCAGTGATGTAGCATACAACTTTTTCTTTTTCTTGTCACCGCACATAGAATAACCAGACTTCCAAATTTCTAATGCTATTGTCATGTTTCTATTTGCAGTAAAAATTTTGCAGATGTTCTCCAGAAAGTAGGAGCTAAAGCAGAACTAATTTTGTATCCTGGAAAAACTCATACGGATTTATTTCTTCAAGTGAGTGATATTTTGGTCCCTCGCTTCTAGTTGTTTCTGGTTGTAACTATAATGAGCAATAGATTGTTAATGCAGGTTAGGGTGCGCTCATTTGAAAAGCTGTATAGTTGTAACTTTTAACTTTTGCATCTCTTTTTCACTTTGATTAAAGTTAGGATATTAGCCAATGTCATTAATTTGGTCTGAAGCTAATAACCAGAAAGGAGAAGTTAAAAGCACCCATTTGAAATTCAGTATTAAATCTGAGTGTTTCAAAACTAATTTTCCAAATGCATGTTATCTAAATTTATTTCTCAAACTCAGGGTCATTTCAAAACACTTCTTCACAGGGAAATAAGTTCAAAAGTGTTTGGCTTTGGGAATTTTGATTGGAAAAGAAATGGGTTAGGTAAAAACTCAGGAATGAAATGCTGTTCATCTAATTACACCCTAATTCTTCTTATTTTTGTATGCAGGATCCTATGAGAGGTGGTAAAGACGAGCTCTTTGAGCATGTGGTTTCTTTGATACATGCCGGTGATAAAGAAGCTCTTGCAAAAGATGCCATAGCACCTCCAAGTCCTCGCCTTGTTCCTGAATTTCTATTGAAGTTGGCTCATACTGTCAGCCCATTTTAAGCCTTCCAGTTTTAAGGTTTATTATTGATGATTGTTTGTCATTATAGTGTTGTTTTATGTCCTAGTTTCCATGTTTATAGTTACAGCATCCGAGTTTGTCTGTAACTTCCTAGAGCTCTTTCGCCTGTATTATTTTCTTAGTTGAGTTTATCGTTAGTTGAGCATGAGATACACACAGAAATATGTCTCTATTTAGAATTTATCGATAGGGAACCAGGCCATATTCCTTTATTTATTATTATTTTTGAACCCGTAAGCTTCTAGTAAGGTACATAAACGCTGGCCGGTAGGTTTGTGTATCATGATTCAATGTTATTCGATTTGTGTCCAATAGAACGAATTGTACACATGATTCATTGCTATTTAATGCCAATATTGTTGTTTAAACCTTCATATTTTTGCAAAATAATTGTTTGTAATAAATATTTATGTATTGTGTTTCGCTACTAATTTAAAAAAATTTGTATTATATTATTGTTGTCGATTATTATTATTTTTTATTTCAAATTTGTGATTAACAAGTGTCGCTGCTAAATAATTTGTTGGCTCCGCCACTATAGCATCCCAATTTTGACAACTCTGGTCACTAGGGTTACTGTCTTACTTAAGCAGGATGCATAAATACAAATTACAGCAAAAATAATGCTCAGTGTCTTAATTTTGAGTCATATAATATAGTATGTTTAATACAATTTTTCCAAAGTTGAAAGTTTATAATAGAAAATAAAATTAAAAGCAACTCTCTCATTTTCTAAATAATCAATTTGGAAAATATAAAAAGAAATAAAAAATCATAGTTTCAATCTTATAATAAAATAAATTCTAAGTTATTTATTTTATCAATTTAAATATTAAACTTTTGATTCGTTATCAATTTAAATTATTTTTCTATCTTCATTAAGTAAAATTGATGAAAAATAGTTATCTTACTCATTAAACATAAACTTAATAAAAAAAATATTTAAAATATTTTATATATTTACTTTGAGTTTAATAACAAAAATAGATAAATAATTTAAATTTAAAATTTTTAAATTAATAAAATGAAAAACTCAAAATTAATTTTGCTATAAAATTCAAATCTTGAAAATTTTTTTATACCCTAATTAATTTACCCTAATTAATTTTTACAACTTAAATTTATCTAAAAAATTACAAGCATAAATAATAATAATAATAATAAAATTACAAACAAATTCAAAAGATGGCACTATTTATCCCCTCGGGCAAGGCATCATCTCGGCTATGATCGCCGCGCGAACCGGGCCGTTAACTCTTCACTCTGAGTTTTGTCCGTACACGACTCCCACGTTAATTGACTCGACATAGAAATCGTTTAGACCGTCACACCACACACTTCATAGTGTATAGTCCAATTTAGAATAACAATAAGGGTAAATTACACTTTGGCCCCTGGCCACTTTATCACTTTTATTTTAAGAATTTATTTTTTCTCATTTTGATATTTTATATTTTAAATTTTTTCGTTTTATTCTTAAAGTTATTTTTTATTTAAAATTAAATTAGAAATAAAAAATTGACAGTTACGTAGTATAAAAATATTTTATTTTATATAATTTATATGTCTAACATAAATTTAAATTATAATATAATAATATAAATTTTTATGTTATTAGTTTTAAGAATGAAGTGCAAAAAAATTGAAACATAGAGAATTAATTTATTTTTTTAAAAAAAAAAACAAATTTTAAGTGCCAAATAAAAAGAGACGAAAAGGAAAAAATATAATTTACTCTAAAAAAAAAAAAAAACGAAAGATTCGTATGAACCGGAGGTCGGTGGTTCGATATCGTACCCAATTGTCATGGTGAACCGGACCACCACCACCCCTTTCTATATCACAATCCCAGAGACCTAGGGTTCGAAAGTTCTTCGCTTCAATAGTCTTCCAGAACTCGTAATCTCTGTTCGATTTCACCTAATTCAAACTCGAGAAAGTTCTAATTGATCGCAATTCTTTGCAGGTCTCTCTCCTGTATATATATTGATAGATTGATAATCATGAATATCATCAATTTTATATGTTTGATTTCTGTTTCCATTAGGGTTTTGATAAAAATTGTTGTTTCATTGTGTATGCAATTGTAAGTAGAAATTATGACTTCATATGTTTACTACACAGTGTTGAGTTATACATATATATAGATATATAATGGATTGTTTTAGGAATGTTGTGCGTCTTTGAGATAACCCTACAAAGTTTATGAACAACGAAGAACATTAGTAGTTAATCAATGGAAATTTTCATACCCAAGGAAAAAAAATTAAAAAAAATTCTTGTTTGTGTTTTATCTTATTATGATCATGACATCATGCTTTGGTTTTGGTTTATTTAAAGTTGAACCATTGACTCTTGGAGTCTTTTTCCTCCTGGGTTTATGGAGTGGTCCATGACTTCATATTTTTAAAGGTTAATTATGTTGACCTACCTTGAGGTTTGCCTAATTGCAGGGTTCTCCCCTAAGGTTTAGACTAATTGTTGGAATCTCTCTTGTAGTTTCAATAATTAGACTAACCTCCCTGATTTTGAAATTGATGTACAAACACCTGTTTATGTTGTCTAATCATAAAAAAACTGACAGAAATGGATGCTATCATTAATTTAGTTGTCAAAGTACCAATCTTGCCCTTGAGTAATATTGAAATCTCATATGAAGTGAAAAGGGGGCAGCATAGCATCCATGGGCATGACCACATTGGATCACAACCCCCTTTTTCATCTTCTACCTCTAGTAGTCCAGTACAATGGCCAACAATGAGAGTGGCATGTTTTGGAAGGGCGAGTTTAAATTTTTATCCATTTTGGATCTTCAGTATTCATCAAAATTAAGAAAAGGGGAGGAAAACTCCAGAATTTAGCATAATCAGGTACTGTTATATTAATAGGGGCACATTACTTGATTAAATCCCATGATGATGAACCCCTTGGTCATCATAGGTTTGCATTTGCTGGATTGTCTACATGAATTTCAACATCATCCAAGTCAAGAAGGTTGGAAAAGTTTCTGGAGCATCTCACAGATGGCCCCATCCAGAAGCCTAAAGATGAACAGTTAGGGTAATTTAATACGTATTTTTCCCCTATAGAGTTCCCTTCCTCGGCAGGGACATGTTCCCGTCAATGTTACCAGAAAACACTAATATCCTAGCATATTATGTTTTGGAACATACTTTCCGAAATATGGTACACCTTTGTTCCAAAATGGTAAATTTAGTGATCTAAAGCGATCCCAATTTTTTTCCCAATATATTTCTCAAAGGTTTCCTTAGAGTAAAAAAAAAAAAGAGTCGGATATAATGAACTAAAATATAAGGTGAGTGAAGTTCTGACGAAATAAAACATAAAAAATGAGTCATAATGCTCACGGAAATGTGTTAATAGATTATTAATTTGGGGAAAGAAAACCTACATTTTAATGGATGTCTAATTGTCAAAAGAAAATAACTTTAGAAGTACCTTAATTTCTTATAGTGTAATTTATACAAGTCTACTCTTATTGTACCGTATTTTAGAGCATGTGACATACTAGAACAATCCATGATATCCTGGTAACATAGGTTCCAGTTGCTTGCATCTGATGGCTGAGAGTGAAAGTGCTTTTAGAAATTCTATCATATTTCCAGCTTTGGCTGAATCATTGATTGATCAAAGTAACTGACCTTTATCCTTCTTGTCTGAATGCTACTAAAGTTGCAATTATTTTGGGATTCCGGATTCTTTTGTTTTCTAACTTCTGTTGTTCTTTGAAAGTTTTAATCATAAGATGATAAAACAATCAAGATCATGAATGTATCCTTCATAAATTATATTACTTACGTAATTTCTATTGAATTGCAACTTTTGCAGAATGAATAAACCCTCATAAACTGCATGATGGATGTCAAGGCATACACGTTGGGGCAGGTATGCAACCAGGTTGCAAGCCAGTTTGTGAGCAATGATTCACACCTTCCCCAGCTGCGTGAGATTGATTTTCATCAACACTCCATACATGGAGATTCTCTAGCTGATTGGTACAAGGATCCTAGAATGAGTCATGTTAATGAATTTTTCAAGAATAAGACGTAAGTTTTTAATGTTTACATGAATTGCATTATTAAAGTCCCTAAGAATGTCAAATCTGCTATAATAAAAATCTATATTTCAGTTTGTATTCTGTATTTTGTATTTTTTATTTACCTTTCTATATCTTATCAAATTTCTTCTGCAGTACCAAACATTCTATGCAGAAAACAAACCGTGAGTGGGGACAGTGGACATCTGGTCATGTTCGTGTCTCTCAAAGTCAGCTATCTGTTGATGGTGCTTCAAAGGTATTTTAGAATAAGTAAACAAAATTCAGTATAGCAGGTTATTTTCATTTGTTATGTAGTGATTTGCTTTGCTTAGCTCTTTTTTTCTTTTTCTTTTTTTGTACTGGCATGTAAGATCAGTACTCTGCTGATTTTTTTCAATATCATACTATTTTAAATAATCTTTTAGTATGTAATTTCTTGCTTCTAATAGTTAGGTCAGCTGATATGTTAGAAAATTGGTCTCGTCTTTCATGCACTAAGCCCCCCCCTGTCTCTTCTCCCGAGGGTTTTATGAAGTTGGGGTCCAGTCATTAGCTTATTAATGCTTCGTTCTTTTCTGAGGAATAATGTATTTATTTATATAGATCTTGAACCTTGTGGAGTGTTATTAGTGAAAGCTTTTGTCTGATTTTCTAAGTCACCTGAGCTCATGTATTTTCAATCGGTTCTTAGGAGTGCATGAACCAGAAGATACCGCCTCGTCGATTGCAATTGCAAAACATGATCCAGCATGAAATATCTGGTGCTAGCTTCTCCAGTCAAGTAGCCCACTGTCTTACATCCCCGTTTGTCAACTCAAATTCACCATACCCTGTGGTTGATTACTCCATGGTTGTTTGGAATAACAGTAACACATTGCAGACCAATAATGTTAATGACTCTAGCTTCTTTGAAGGTAGATCATTTGGCTCTTCCAAGGGTAAATTGATTAAACGATCATTATGCTCATGTATTGGGTTGTTCTGTAATTATATCTCATTAGTTAATAAATATTTACTTGCAGGATCTCCTTGTGATGGTTATAACCGGGGAGTTGCCACTACATTCATGGGCACAAGGCATGTTGCTAGTGGGATGGTTCCTTCTCCTGAGAAAATCTCATCCATCACAGCATGTTCTGATGCGGATATGCATTCTGATACTGGACCTTTTGATGGTGCACCAACTTTTCCTAGTAGTAGCTTACTATCTGAGTCATCATCAGAAAACTATGTCCAACAGAAGCATCTTAATGAGGGTATGTTCTCTAATTATTTTGCTAAAATTCTCCAAATTATAAAACCTTGAACAATGCCCAACATTTTGATTGAAAGTTTCTCTTGTTGCATTTGCTTCTGTAGAAGTATATTTTGACCTTTTTAATTTTGGATGTTGTTAACGAGAGTGCCTTAGGGTACTTGTTTACAAGCTTGAAATAGTTGTACATTCTTTGTAAGAGTGTGTGCCATAAAGAATGTACACCCATTTTAAGCTTTGTTAACCAATGCCCTTAGGGCACTCAACTAGACCCTTTTATTTTTTGTTTTTCCTTGAGTATTTCTCTGTTTGTTACCTTGTGGAACTACACTTAGTGTTGGTATCCTAAATAATTTGGAGCAAGCACCTCATTTTCTCCCAAGCAAAAAAATTATTTCAGACACTATACGACTGAACCTTGATCACCATCTCAAACTTGTCCCTGTACAATGTGTATACACTAATTTGGACCCACTACTCAAGAGTATACCCCAAATTCCTGCAATCACCCACAAACCACAAGTATTGGTTAACTTGTAAGACTACAAGAAGAGTTGAACCCAAGATGTTCGAGTTTATGGCTCACTCCCTTACCCGTTCGCCTACGCATGTGAATTCTTCATTGAAATTTGTTTTTCTTAGATGATTTTGGGAGACTTACATGACTGAGGCAAAATTGGGATTGGTGGCACCTATGTCCTCATGAAAGTGGCACCAATACCTTATTGTTACAGATGAGACCAGTTCACCCATCCTTGGCAACTCTTCTCTCTTCCTTTTTTTTTTTATTTTTTTATTTTTTTATATAATTTTGTTTTTGTTTTTGTTTGCTTTTAAAATTTTCTTGCCTTCGCCAGCATTCTTTTTCTCATGGCTTTATTTGCTTTTTGAATGATTATTTTCACCAGGTGAGTTGAATTTGATCAAACATGAAGGTTTCATGGAGAATAATCAGAATGTTTATTCGGAGAGGGTTCCATTATTTTTTAGGGAAAACTTGGAGTTACCTTTTCCAGACTTGCAGAACCTGCAGAAGGATGCACAGAGGATTCCTGAAGCATCTGATATTTTTCCTCGTGCAAATTTAGATATTTCAAAACCAACTTGTGAGGATTTATTGGAACCCAAGCTGCAGATGCCAGGGTCTCATCAGTTCCATCAGCAGCACCAAGATGAACGTTTGAATGAGATAGCGCCGCGGAAAACGTCTAAACAGTTGTATCTTTGTTCAGAACAATCACATGGTGTTAAACATGTTTCTTCAGAAAGTTATGCAATCCTTTTTGGTCCAACTGGAGCTGCCAAAGTTGTGCATTCAAGTGATCTAACGTTTAAAACAATTCTAGTTTCTTATATGAACTACAAGAGAATGAATGTAGATGGAAATCAAGTTTCCTTTATGAAACATATGCATGCGACATTATGTAATGAGAGCACATGCTACTGTGACCAGTATTCTGAACTAGTTTCCCATTTTGATAACTGTCATTGTTGGGAGTGCAACATATGCAAGCCTGTCCGAAGGTTTTGTGTTACTGGTAAACCTCTCGGGGGATCTAGAAAACAAGGAAAAGTTCACTTTGAGGGTTCCTGTGACACAGATTTTAGTTGTACTCCTGTCCCTACTGAAGATAATCTGCCTCCTCCTAAACGTCTGAAGATAGGGAATCCTGGTTCCTTAGAAACTGGTGTTTCTTATGTAGTTGCCTCTTCAAAGAATCAACCTTGTGAACCTGAAAAACTCTCACACTTGCAGCAATTGCCTGATGCTCCTGTATCAAATAATTTAGATGAAATGGAGATTAAAATGGGAGTGTCAACTCCCCTTCAAGACTCCATAAGCACTGCTAGTTCAAGTAGGAATAATGTTACAGAAACTGCACAGAGGTCTGACTTAAAGGGTACACCCATTCATCCTGAAGAGTTCATTGGTTGTTCTAAAGAAGGGGAGACAGCCCATGAGTGCATTAGTGAGGTTAGAAACAATGTCATGGATAATTTTAAAAAATCTGAAGAGCTCATTGTTGATCATAAAGTGGAGGAGAGAGAAGTCAGGACCAAGTCTGACCAGGCAAACCTAGAGACAAAAAGTAATTTGATTGCACCAGCAGCTAATTCAGAAACGAAGATGGAGGAGCCAAAGATAATGGGTGTGTCTTTGATTGAGTTTTTCACAGTAGAGGAAATGAAGGAACATTTATTGAGTCTCAGGCAGTGGGTTGGTCAGGTTTGTACAGCACTTTATGATTTTTGCTGTTTTTGATTTGCTTTAATTATTCTTTTGGATTGTATATATCATTAGGATTAGCATAATAAGGTCTTTTAATAGATTGATCCATTTGAAGGTTTTCCCTATACTCAACTTAGTGAAGCCACATTTCAACCACTTTGTCCTGGCTGAAGAAGTCTTTTCTTGAGATCATGTTCTTTCTCACAACTTACATTCATATCTTGTTGGTCTATCTCTTGTTCTTGAGGCTTCAACTTCTCCCTCTTAGTGGTGCTGTCCTTGTTATTTGACACAAACATTCAATTCGTGTAGCCAACCAATCATATATTGTCTTCATTGTGCTCAATTGGACTATATAAGAAGCAAAGGAGGAATATTTAACATACCTTATTCTTACATGGTGTTAGCTTGAGTTGCATCTCCTGGCACCCACAAAAAGGGAGGTGCAGAATTCAAGTCCTTGTTAGGACCCACTCTATCCGAAAAGAACTAATCTTTGTAATTTAGTTTCTAGGACTTGCTGTTGTCATTTTGCCTCAGAGAAATTTTTTTGCACCTCATTTGTGTAAGGTTCCTGTTCTTTAAAATGTATGCAAAGAAATATATAAATAATATTAGATTATATATTTTTTTACATAACATGTTAAACAGATACATAAAATATATTAACATGTTACCATGTCCTTGCCATGCTGTGCTCTACTTTTTTAAGATTTGCTGTCAGTGAGTTCGTATTGTGTTGTGCTAAGCTAAGAAGCACCGACACTCCAAGATGTGTGCTATGTCCATGTTCTTGTCCAACACAGCAGGGACACACATGTCAATGTCACATCACATCACATGGCATGTCAATTTTTTTAATTATTAATTTTTCATAGGACACGTAGGGGACCTCATGCACATGCGTGTTCGTAAATAAAATATATAAAAAAATATATTTTTTCGCCATATGTTGACCGATTCCATATCCTAATTTTTTTAGAATCGTCGTGTCCACTATCCGTGTAGGTGCTTCTTAGGTGTTGTGTCTTTGATTGATTTCTTGGGCCAGGCTTGTAGATTTTCCATCAATTTTGGGAGTATTTTATTCAAATTCAGCATGTAGTTTTTACTTACCTAAACATGGTGTTAGATATATGTGACCTTTGGTGTTGCTACAATTTAAATATAGTGACCTTTGGAAGGGGTGACCATTGGTTCAATGGTTAAAACTTGACCTAATAACCTTGAGGTTATGGGTTTAAGTCTTGGGAACACCACTTTGTGCATTATGCCAAAGGTGTACTCAATCTTTCCCCTCCCAAACACATATTAATGTGTACTAATTGGGCGTTATTTTTTTATGCAGGAAGTAAAAGGAAGCCCAATGGCATATTCTGTTGGTGAAAACTCATGCCAGTTGTGTGCTATGGACAAGCTTGTGCTTGCCCCAGCACCAATATATTGCTCAGCTTGCGGGGCTCGTATGAAATTCGGTATGGTTTATTATTGCGGACTTGATGAGATGGGTACACAGCATTGTTTTTGCACTTCATGCTTCAAGAAGTCTCGTGGTGGTGATATCTCATTTCATGGCATTTCCGTTTCCAAGGAAAAGCTTCACAAGGAAAAGAATGACCATGAAGATGAAGAATCGGTAATCTACGTCATTTTCCCCTTTGAGATATCAGTTTAAATAAATGGTTTAAGACTCCATACAATCATTTTGTCTTTGCAGTGGGTTCAATGTGATAAATGCAAAGGCTGGCAACACCAGATATGTGGTCTCTACAATGATAAAAGAGATTTAGGAGGAAAAGCAGAGTATATTTGTCCAAAATGCTACTTAGAAGGAATAGAAGTTGGAGAGCGTGTGCCCTTACCAAAGACTGCTGCTTTTGGAGCAAAAGATTTGCCAACTACTATGCTCAGTGATTACATTGAGCAAAGGCTCTTTAGGCGTCTCAATCAAGAGAGAGAGGAGAGGGCAAATTCTTTACAAAAGAACCTTGATGAGGTATAATACAAATACTCTGTTTATAAATATTTTCTTTTTCATTTTTGACACATGAATTAATGTATTATATTCACTTGGTAATGACCTAGAAGAAAGGATAGAAACATAAACTATCAAGACATGATCAAATTATAGCTGGTCTAAGACAGAATTATTGTGTGATCACTCAAAAGAGGAACAATATTTGTCCATGCTTGCCATTAGCTGTGATAGATTTTCATGCATGTCATGCCTAATAAATATTGCACGTGTTTGATTTCTTTAGCCATGGGATATAATTCGACCTCCGAACAGTTTGATTTTTGCATGCATGACAAACATGGGGAACTCATACAATTTAACAGTGGGGTGGGGCCAATACAGATTAATGTAGGACAGTGATGTGTATTCAATATAGCCGTCTTTGAATGACTTTTTGGTGGGAAATGTTACAAAGTTGTGGATTTTGGGTTTTAAATGATAGCATGACGGGTGTAGGGTTTTAATGAGGGTTTGGGAACAACAAATTAAAGAGTTTTGGAGATATTTTGATGGCCAAAGGATGAGGAAAGAGGTTACGCTTTATTATATCTTAATATGGGGGAGTTTTGGGACTGAAATTTGGGCTGTTTTGGTCCTGTACATAACAAGCTGAAAACAATACCTTTCCCTTTCTTTGTTGGGGATTGATTATTTGGGTTGTCTTCATGTAGGGATTGCTAAAGGATGATTTTATGGTTGAAAACAAAAATTTTTAAGAACTAGTTGTAATGTAAAGCATAGACTGTAAGTTAGTCTAGGAATCTCACATAGACTACTTGGTCTTCACCATCGCAAGGGTTAGGCTTCATCACACAGCACAAAATATTAAATTCTCCAAACTTTAGTCTTTTTGCATAGAGAGATTACATAGGTGTATATATGCTTGTGCCCAATCATACTCCGCTATGACTAGGACTTCAAAATTATAACTTTTTAACTATTAAGACTATTTTAGACCTAACAAACTCATATAAAATGACCCATTTAAATAACTTGACCCGAAACAAGACTCATTTAAATAATTTCCACGCCCTTAGTTCCTATAACAAATAAAGCACAATTAGAAGAACCAGCAGCTTAGTAATTGTAAATAAAGATTGTTAACACTACCATGGACATTTTTCTTCGGAACAATAAGGCTTCTTGATAATTGCTGGACCCATACAGAGATTACATAGCTGTATATAGGTTTGTGTCCAATCCTATTCCAAAAAAAAATAAATAAATAAGGGTCACGATGCTCCCACTAAAGCATGGTCTAGGGAGGGTAAGCATTGCTGTAGGGTTAACCCTACTCCAGGACTTACAAAAAAAGAAGTGTCCAATCCTTCTCCAGCTTTGTCTTGGACTTTAAAATTGAAAATCTTGACCTTTTTACTATTAAGACCGTTCTCCACTAGCAAAACCCATATATGATGACCCATTTAAATAATTTGACTAGAAACAAGATCGATGGATCCACATTGCGGCAAATCTAGAAATTGCTAAGATGCTCTCAGCTCCTAAAACAAGTAAAACACAAATAAAAAGACCAGCAGCATACTGACCATATATAAAGACTCTAAACACTACCATGTACTTTTTCTCCTTCGGAGAAATAAAGCTTCTTGATAATTGTGGGACCCATATTCTTTTGTTTTAGGACTCCAAAGCCTGTCATACTTGTTTAGCCCATTGTTGGATGTAGCATCACAGCTCCTGTATGAAGTATTCAGTGATGTCGAACTAGCTAGTGATTAAGATTAGGATTTTATCCTGTGGCAAAAATGTTTGCCCATTTGAGAATTTTCACACATTTGTTTTATCTAACATTTCTCATCAAGAGTATATCTAATGCTTTATGTTTCAGAATACAATTGCTTGATATAAGATGTTCAACCTATTTCTAGGTACCTGGAGCAACAGATCTTGTTGTCAGAGTGGTGTTATCTGTCAGTAAACTATTGAAAGTGAAGCAGCAATTTTTAGATATTTTTCATGATGAGAACTACCCGACAGAGTTCCCATACAGATCAAAGGTAAGAGAAATTTCAGTATTTCATGCACAAGCAATTTCCTGTTGCTTGTCTTTGTTGATGCAACTTATAAGAACTTCAACTAAGATTATGAAAACACCAAAAATCTCCTTTAATTCATAAGTGACACCACCAACCTTCATTTTTTGGGTTGACTTATAGTTGAATCTCTCCTTTATTAAACTTCAGTATTTTGCTACTCAACTGTTCGTTTTTTTATATTGGTTAATGATTTTTCTACGATAATGGCCACACAAATCATTTAATTTCTTTTTTCATACGAAATGTGAAAGGACTAGAGGTGAGTACGTTCTGATATAAATCCATAGGGGAGATTGATGTTACTGCAAATTCTTCAAGAAAGTTTCTTATTTTCTTTTTTTTCCCCCCTTTGTTAATCACCCACATGTTGAATTACAGCTGTTAATTGTTTTATATTTTCATGAATTCTGACACATTCTTTCCCCATCAGGTGATTCTTTTGTTTCAGAAAATTGAAGGTGTAGATGTTTGCCTATTTGGAATGTATATCCAGGAGTTTGGTTCAGAATGTGGTCAACCCAATCAACGTTGCGTATATATCTCATATCTCGATTCTGTCAAGTACTTTAGACCCGAGATAAGAACTGTGTCCGGTGAAGCTCTTCGTACTTTCGTTTACCATGAAATATTGGTAATTATCTTCTTCTTTTTTCCTGGTTTATTTGTTTAATCCCTATTATTATATCAAGCATTTAAAGCTTCTATTGGAAAATGTAAATAACAAGAAGATTGGCTCTTTGCTTTGTCCTTTATTGTCATCATCAGATAGGATACCTTGATTTTTGCAAGAAACGAGGTTTTGCAACCTGCTATATATGGGCATGCCCGCCTTTGAAAGGAGAAGATTATATTTTGTATTGCCATCCAGAGAGTCAGAGAACACCCAAGGCTGATAAACTGCGACAGTGGTATTTCCTCTCTCCGAACATGTTAATTTTACATGTGTGTTTATGTGTTTGCATTATTTATGTGATTAAGATATGTGTAATACCTCGGTATCCCGCACTCTCTCTCTTTCCACACCTTGACATGATTGCATGTATGCATTTATGTATGTATTTAAGCATGACACATGTATTAATGCATGCCATTCATTTGAAAATAATGCATGTCATTCCTAACTCAGGTGATTGGTCTGTTTTCAGATGTTTGTTCATAGTTTTTTTTCTCTGATTTCCATGTCTGCAGCTTTTGTTGGGCATGCATATTTCTTGACTTGAAGATTTTCCACGTGCAGGTATAAGTCAATGCTAAGAAAAGCAGCCAAAGAGAATATAGTGGTGCATTGCACTAATTTATATGATCATTTCTTTGTTCCTACTGGAGAATGCAACATCAAGATAACTGCAGCTCGTTTGCCATATTTTGATGGTGACTATTGTTCTGGTGCTGCTGTAGATATGATTAAAAATATTGAACAAGGAAGTCAAGTAGGTTCACAGAGCAAGGGGAAAAATGTTCTGACAAAGAGAACCTTAAAAGCTATGGGACATACCAATCTTTCTGATAATGCAACCAAAGATATTCTACTGATGCAAAAAGTAAATTTCTGCTCTTCTTTTCTGTCCTACTCTCTAGTAACCTCTATAGATGTCATTGATTTGCATAGTCAGGTGTTTTGATTTAGTTCTTGTTCTATTATACCTCATGCTATGCTAGGCTTCCAGTTTATTTACTTAAGGTCTTTCTTTTATTATTATGTCACTGGGTGCAACCACCCCACCTTCTTCCCTCTCTCCTCCCCAATAGGGGAACCTAATCTTTCATGATACGTGGAGGGGACCAGACCCCTTACATCTGGTTGATCTGGGTTAGGACTCATAGGAGTTGAACATGGACAGAGTGTTTCTTCCAGTGCCTCACATCAACTCAGTTAGTATTTGGCCATTTCTTGGACCAAAATAATGCTGACTGATGCGTTAAGTACCATGACCTCAATTGGTCCTGATTATAATAAGCTATAGACTATCTTAGAGGCCAAAGGACAAAACAGTCCTTTCCTCAACTCAGGTTTGCATGGAGATGACCCCATTAATGAGAAAGTTCCCACAAAATGGGAAAGCTTCTACAGAAAAGGAGATATTGTCTTTGTTGTTGCACATCCCATTTATTTAGAGGTGAATGTTTCCATTGAAGGAAAGGCTCTTTATCTCTGTACTAGAGGTAGGATCCTAAGAGAAGTGGAATTTGTTGAAAGGCCTCTTGAATAGCCAGAAATGGCTTAGAAGAACTTATCATTCTCCTTTTAATTTTGATGTTGATGCATACCTATTAATATTTCATTTTATATGCTACATCCTTTTGTTGGTTTTTGAAGATTCTGATTTTCATTCAACACTGCCCCGAATTATTAAAAGCATTGCATTTCTTTTATATGATGATACTATTTGTTAATCCTTGATTATTTTCTTGTTCTTTCGTTTGATAGCTGGGGCAAACCATCTTTCCTGTGAAGGAAGACTTTATCATGGCCCATTTACAATTTACTTGCATGTGCTGTCGTGAAATGATACGATCTGGAAGCCGATGGTATTGCAATGAATGCAAAAACTTTCAGCTATGTGAAAGGTTATTTTCTTCTCTGAAAGTTTATTTCTGTGTTTTTTGTTTTTCCTTACTTTCGCTGGCTATGGAAACTTATAATTTGATGATGTAGTTCTTGCCTGACCTTTACCCACTCTCCACTGAAGTCCTCCTCGATGTCTTCTCTTCAATATTTTATTTTCTAATTGTATTGACACATTCTCTAGCTTTTTTTCCTTTTATCTTAGAGATTAGATAATTTTATTTCATAATAAATAATATTTCCCACATAAGATAGTGAAAATTCAACTTTTCAACTAACCTGTAAGATGTAATAATGCCTTTTTCATCAAGCCACTAAATAAATAATAAATAATATTTGGGTTCCATTTAAGGAGTGATTGCAAAGCATAAGAAAGTGAAAATTCAACTTTTAAAAATGTAATAATGCCTTTTTCATCAAGCTAAGTAATTTGAAAGCATTACAATTTGTGAAGTCTCTGGGTTGAGTTTTATGTAGAGTTAGTTAAGAATTAATAATGATAATTTGCTCGGTATACATTTTCTTTTTTCAGGGAACAAGTGATCAGAAATAGTTAAGAGTTTAATTCTGTTTCATATTACAAATATGATATTTAGCTATTAAAACAAGGATTTTGTCAACGTGTGCCCTTAGGGAACATGTTAAGAAATTTAAAAAGATTGTACATTTTGCATGAAAATGCGTGTAATAAATAATGTATAATCTTTTTTAAGCTTTCTTAACATATGCTCTAAGGGCACACATTAACAATACCCATAAAAAAATTCAAAATTTTGGGGTTGAAGAATAAGGATATGCAAGGCTTAAAATTATGGAAAAGTGACTGAAATCATGTTTTACTTCACATTTGGTCACTTATGTTATGGATGTGAAGATTAGCATCTCTCCTCCTAATAATTGATGGTGCCATTTTCATATTATAGATAAGCTAATCCTATTTAAGGACTGTTTTTTGAATGCAAGTCCATTGGTAAAATTTAGTAGTTTATCATTCTTGATCTTTTGCTAAAATTTTCTTGTCAATTTTGCTTTACCCGATGCAAGAAGATGTGATCTGCCTGAAGTTTTATGCTGGAGTTGTATTCATGACTTTATGTAGTGGGTTGCAGTAGTCCTCAAATTTTTAATTCTTATCCACCCTCTCATATATGTTGTAGATGCCATGATGTGGAGCAAAATCTCAATGAGTGGAACACACACACTTCCAATACTGGGGAAAAACATTTTATCTCTCAGGTGATTCCCAAATTCCAACGTTACAACCATTTTCCGCTGTTTTTTTTTTTAACAAAATGAAAACAAAAATTCTTCCACACACATTCTAGTTTATTTTGGTACACAGTCCTTCTCGAATTCACTTCCTATTTTACATATATACATTTATTCTCTTCAGGTTGCAGTAAATGATGTGCCCATTGATACGGTGGATACAGATGTTATTCTGGATAATGGTTACTTTGAGAATAGGCACTCCTTCTTGAGCTTTTGTCAGGGGAGTCATTATCAGTTTGATACACTTCGTCGTGCCAAGCATTCCTCAATGATGATTCTTTTTCATCTCCACAACTCAACAGAGCCAGGTGTTGGGGCCACCTGCTACATTTGCCATCAGGATATTATGGTGAACCAGGGATGGCATTGTGAGATTTGTCCAGGGTTTGCTGCTTGTGATGGATGCTATCAAATTAAAGGTGGTGATTTTCATATTCATAAGTTAAGTCAACGTTCATCCATCATAAATTGTGGGGCAAAGAATAGACAGGCTCAGCTGCACAAACATATGCCGGTATGGAGAAATCTTTCATATGCATTTAACTATAAATAAAAATAAAAAATCAATCTTTTGGCATTCCAGTGGCTGCTGAGCGAAGTTGTCATTGTTTTTAGAATCATATGTCATCTTTTGTAGTATCTAGAAAACAAGGTCCGGTGTCCTAAACATTCTATTATTTTCTCTGGTAGCATCTTTTAGCTATTGTTCGAGTAGTGTGCCCCCTTGCCCAGTGCAAGGGGATCTTGTTCTTTTTCTTTGGTTCGAAGAGCATATTTTTCAGTCTTGCAGCGATAAAAAATAATATTCCAAGGGTTTTCGTAAATGAAAAATATAAAGTAAGGTATTAGATTCAAGGACTATATAAATGATATTTGCAATTTGCTATATCACCTCTTCAAAAGTTAGGCCCTTTTGGAGGTGGTGTTTAAATTGTACCTCATTGCTCTTGGTACTACTGTGTCAACTTTTCCCTAGTGTTGCTCCAATTGGAGAATAACATATGGAATTGACAACTGCATAAACTAGTGGGGAAAAAAATTCCAGAAGGAAGGTAGCACCCATGTTTTTAGGTGCTACTTCCGTATGATTTTACAATGATTAGATGGGTCCTTTCTACAAAGCTTAAAGATTGCTATAATATTAATTTTGTGCTATTGAACCATTGAAATTTTTTCCCTGGTGGTGCAGATGAGGGAAGCCCTTGATGTTCTTCTGATGCATGCCTCTCAATGTAATGCGACCAAAATCAAACCCTGCTCCTATCCAAACTGCCTTCAGGTGAGAAAGCTCTTCCACCATACACAGCAATGCAATCTTCGGCTTGCTGGGGGTTGTCAAGTCTGTCAGAAAATCTGGAAGCTGCTGAAGGAGCACTCAAAAAATTGTAGAGATTCTGGTTGTGGAGTACCGCGCTGCATGTGGGTTATGCTAACATTTGGGAATTTTTTGTTTCTTTTCTACTTCGATTTGGAAATAGTGAAATAACATTCTTCCAATATGCAGGGATCTGAAGAAGCGTGCCGAACTGCTTGCATCACAATCTGAAACTCGCCGAAGAGCTGCGGTTGTAGGGTCACTAAGAGATAGCTGAGAAGATATTGTTATAGATTGATCATTGTCAGCGACCATTTGTACAGTCAAAACAGAGCGAGAATTGTACAGTTAGCTAGCAGGCTTAGACAAAAGTATGAGTCACCCATTTATATCAGATATTAAGATGGATTATCCAGATAAGGAATTCGTTCAATACATACCAAGTTTGGAGAGAGATTTGGTGTACAGACGAAAAGTAGTAATTATTATTTAGTTTTGCACCAAACTACAATTGTGTATATCTTTCTTGTGCAAGAATACATTTCAGAGTAGTTTGTAAATACACCTTCCATTTTTTCCTTCTAGATTTTTATCTTGGTTTGGTTGTGTAGTTTAGTCAGGTACATATTTTGACAAATTCATGTGGAATAATAAATTTGAAGAGATCCATTTTTGCTATTTTGAAATTTTTCATGTTACTTCATTTATCCCCAAGTGACAATCTAAGGGCTATACTGGAAAAGAAACCATCTTTTTTCTTGAATAAGATTTACCTATTCAGCAGGTACAGCGGCAGAGAAAAGTCTCTGTTCATGTGTTTGCCTGCAGGTGATTGTCGGGGCAACTTCAGAAAGAATTACAGCGAGATGACACCTGGCTATTAATTTTTTTTTTTTTTTTGAAGATTTAGTCCGAGAACATAATGGAGTTGGAGAAATCTTTGGCCATGCTTAAGAGGGAGGTCTTACCCATTGAAGAAATCTCTCATTATGAACAAGAAGTCTACCGGATTAATCCTTACCCATTGAAGAAATCTCTCATTATGAACAAGAAGTCTACCGGATTAATCTATCCTCTGCAGGTATGCAGTCCTAACTCATTTGTTGGATTTCTGATATATCGATGAGAAATGGGTTTTAGTTGCAATTTATTTACTTATTTTCTTATGTATTACAGCTGAGGCTTCAATATGTTCGCCTTCTGTAGCTTGACTTGACATTCTTTGTTCAACCAGAGGAGATTACAGCTTTCTGAAGTGCGGAGAGTGCTGAAACCATGATTGACAATTCTCAAGCAGATCATAGAAATTTGCCAAATCAATGAAGTCTTAAAGACAGTGGTTAGCTTGATATAATCCTATGGAGGTAAACCTAGAACTCTGCGACACAAAGAAAGAATTGACTCTCAATACAATAAGTGGTGATGATTAAACAATATGTGGGCCGTTGTGACCTATTTACTTTTCAATTGCAAATCCCACTTCCTATGTAACATTTGTTGAACAGTAAACAATACATACTGTGTCAGATCATCCACACACTCCCTAATGAGTCCAGTTATGGACACAAACTAAGGCACCGCCGTTTTCTCTCCCGAAGACCTACATTCTAATTCTGTCACTGATTTGAATTGGAGGAAGATATTGTAGCAATAGAAAGCAAAAATATGGCAAGTGCCACCAGTTCAGATATTTTTATTGTTTTGATGTGAATATGTAATCATGTAAGCCTAATTGTGCAAGTTCTATTTCTGTTAGCATTTTTATTAGGCGTGTATCAATAACTTGTTTCCCATTTAAATCACATGTTCTTCAATACCATTTACAAGTAGAGCCGTAAAATGAACTACACTACTCGAGCTCTCGTGTCTGGCTCGTTAAAAACTCATTTGAGGGCAGCTTCTTATCTAAACAAGCCCAACTTGAACACTTTCTAGAACTCATTAAGTTTTTAAAAGAAATTTGAGCAACTTACTCGGCTCATTTATAGCAAGTTAGCAGCTATTAAATAGTGAATACATCCTGGGAAAGAAACAAATTAATAATACCGTCACAGTTAAAGAGTAAAGTTTAAACTTGTTTTAAAACCTTTAAATAACACAACCTTGAATACGTGTACGTGTCAAGATCAGAAATGCAACCAAAATATATGTACATATAACTAAAATTCCTTCTGAAGTCACAGTGGGCACCTCCAAGGTGGATTCCACCAAAACAAAAACCAAAAAGCACAAAAATAAAAATAAAAATAAAGGAAGAAGCATGAAATTTAGAATTATGTCAGAAAATTGCCCAATCTAGCAAATCGTATTGCCTTGCTAGATTTACAATTTGTAACTCATCAATTCCTTTATGCTGTGTTTGGTTGGGGGATTTGGAGAGGGATTTGGAAAGGAAAATGAAAAAAGTAGGTGAAATATGAATAAATCATGCCTATATTTCACATAGTTTCACACACCTTTTCCCTTTCCCTTTCCAAATCCCTCCCCAAATCCCTCAACCAAACACACCATTAGGAGAACAAACATAGCATATAAGAAAGACTTCTCTAGAAAAAATTAAGGCCGACTTCTCAAGAAAAATAAGTTGTTATATAAGAAAGCACAAATGATCTATGCAGAAATTTGAGTTCAAAAGGTACAAACAATCCTTCCCAAAGGAAGAATAAAGAAATTTGAGCAACTTACTCGGCTCATTTATAGCAAGTTAGCAGCTATTAAATAGTGAATACATCCTGGGAAAGAAACAAATTAATAATGCCATCACAGTTAAAGAGTAAAGTTTAAACTTGTTTTAAAACCTTGAATACGTGTACGTGTCAAGATCAGAAATGCAACCAAAATATATGTACATATAACTAAAATTCCTTCTGTGGGCACCTCCAAGTTGGATTCCACCAAAACAAAAACCAAAAAGCACAAAAATAAAAATAAAAATAAAAATAAAGGAAGAAGCATGGCATTTAGAATTATGTCAGAAAATTGCCCAATCTAGCAAATCGTATTGCCTTGCTAGATTTACAATTTGTAACTCATCAATTCCTTTAGGAGAACAAACATAGCATATAAGAAAGACTTCTCTAGAAAAAATTAAGGCCGACTTCTCAAGAAAAATAAGTTGTTATATAAGAAAGCACAAATGATCTATGCAGAAATTTGAGTTCAAAAGGTACAAACAATCCTTCCCAAAGGAAGAATAAAAATACAAACATCTGATACAACAAATATGGATAGAGAAGAAGCCAATTCGAGTCATCTAGGACTGTTGTGAAAGAATAAACAGCCCCCCATACCCTAATCGAAACCCACAAAAAAAAAAAAAAGACACAGGAACCAACCCCCTTGAATTGAATTTCCGTGGGTTGTTATAACTACATTTCAAATTAATACACACTACTACACATTGGGGATCCCTAACTGTTAAAAAATACCAATAAAAATAAAAAAGCAGCTAAGCCAGAACAGCAATAGGGTTTAAGCAATTATCATGTGGTGATAAAATTCCACAACTTCTTCCCTATCGACACTTCACCGGGATGCTCAGATTCTTCATCGTCTTCGTCATAGTCGCCGTCATCATCCCTGCATTCGTCATTGCTGTACTCCCTAGTCCTTTCTGGGGTCCCGTTCACCTCTTCACTCATCACATCCATGTTATCCTCATTGCCACCCTGAGCATCTGCCGTGGTTTCAAACTGTCACAGCACAAGAATCATACAATTCATGTCAGCAAAGTTGGTGCTCTTTGAAGGACTTCAAAGTTGCAAGGCGATTCAATATTTCACAATTTTGAATAACTTTTCTTCTTTTTCTTTTCGTTGTTATTCTGTAGGCCACAGTTCTAAATAACATTTAGCACTGACAAGTGTGAACAGCAAAACAAAATTAATAGAGCAAAACGGCTCATATCAAGTAACAAGTTAAAAGTCATCAAAATGTTCCAAACCCCAGCCATCTTGACTTCAATCAAAAAACGAATACTAAAGGGGTCAAGCCTCGAGTGGTTGATATCAACAGAAAGGCCTCAACATTTATGAATTAACCAAGTATTGTAAATGTCAAAGATACAGCAGAGGTCAAATAGCTGCCATGTTTATTTCTTCATAACAGAAAACCAAAAGCACAAAACACAAAATAATACAAATTTACATGAAAATATATACTTTGAACACAACAAAATACAAAAGAAAAGGAATTGATATCAATAGAAAGTTGATAATCATCAATATTTTCTCCAGATTGCCCAATTTTTGGAAATGATAAAGATTGAGCAATGTCTGCCATCTCTATGTTGGCCACCATAAAAATCCAAAAACTGCAACCATAAAAATTACTTAAATTTCACTATATATATATAATATACATTTGGCCAGAAAAACCAATTTATCGATACCATGTATACGACAGAGAGAGCAGAGCAAGTATATGAAAAAAGAGTATTCATGCACATAGGGAATGCTTCTACAAGTACTCACCTGCATGGAGTGTGTGCTTCCACCATTTTCACTAACAAGCTCTATCAAAGGTGCGGCCACAGCTTTTGAGTTAGAAATTTCATCCCTCATATCTCTTCCATCATCACCATCTCTTTCCTTTCCTTTGCTTGGGTCAGGCAATGCTCCATTAGCAGCCACTGTCACCGGACTGAGCCATACAAAATATTAGGAATTCCCAAAAAGTCGAAAAGGAAACATAAGATTGAGGTTCAGCTTCGAAAATTTTGTGCATCAATTAATCAGTGTGCAGACATAGGTTCATTAACTTCTCATGCTGATAATTCAATTTAAAAGCTAGCTCTCTTACAGCCTGTTTGGATTGAGTGATTTGGAAAGAAAAGAAAAGAATATGTAAAGATGAGAGAAATGGGGTGAAATGGAGAGAAACCCCCATTTCTCCTACAACCCTCCACTTGAATCTCTCCAAAAGTGGAGATTGGGAGAGAAAAGAAACTAACTAATTTCCATTTTTTATAATACCAAAACTGTCCCTTTCGCTATAGAAGAAATAATTTTTTAAAAAAATGACACCTATAAAAAGTTAATTTGGTAATATAACATGAAGCAATTTATTTTCTTTTGTGTTGTTTAACCATACAAATGAGAGAAACCATATATCTTTTCTTTTCATTTCTCTCCTATTTATTCAAAAAAGAACCAGGGAAACCACAATCTTTTCTTTTTTCTTCTCTCTCCTAACTTGTGTAATCATTTCTTTCTTTTCTCTCCTAGGTTCTCACAAACAGAGTTTTTTAGACAACTCATACCCATAATTCTAGAATTAGAAAGAATTAATCTGATTGCTAGTTCAACTCCATTACGAAGCTATAGTAGTCCTTGGTTTTAAATGCACCATGTCCGAGTCCAAGCACCGAATGTGCAGGCACACAAGGCATCGGTGCAGTGGAAGGTTGGGCCCTGCATCAACTCAAGGTGTTACCAGAGCATTACCCTGTATACAGCTTTTTTCATGGACTTACATTTTGGGTCGCCGGAGGTTGTATCGTACTTCACCAGGAGCTCGTACAGCTTGAGCAACCTTCTGTCTCCTCTTGCGACCGCCTGCTGTGACACTTTCAGAATGTCCTTCACTGTAATCACCATCCTGCTCGCTCACTGTATTTTGAGAGCCATGAGCACGGTTCCGCTTTCGTGCATTTCTTGCCTTTCCTTTGTTCACAAGAGTAGATTCTTCCTGGCCTTCCTCGTTCATATGGGCAGAATCCTCAGCCTTACCATTCTGTTCAAAGGCATCCCCAAGTATAGACTTGGCATCTGCAACAACCGCCTTCACGGAGAGGGTTCTATTAACTCTAGGCCTACCTCCTCTCCTGCCAGGTTTGCGGCGGCCCATTTTCAGATCAGATTGCTGTGAATCCTCTGCAATTTCTTGTGCCTGGCTGTTGATATTGCTCTGATCATCAGCAGATGGATCCTGACTGGCTCCTATCTCTCTGATGCTGTTGTCAGATTGAATCCTATGAACATCCACAGAGCCAGTTGCAATCCCCAAGGATTCTGGTTCATCTTCGTTGCTCAATAACCTTATTGGTTGTTCTTCTATACCATTGAGTTCATTCTTTTTACCCGGTGAGAAAGTAAATATCTTTGAGGTGCATTTTCGGAGCCAGGACATAGTTCCTCCAGAAATCGGAGATCCTGAGTGAATTACACCCGGGGATATCTCATTATTTTGCCTCTCAGAAGTGACCGTGTTACCCCGGACAGCCTCCTTCAAATAATCATTAGTTAGTCTAGGCAAAGGAAGTGCCTCCACATTGTCTATTCCATGTAAAGATTGAAGATCAGAAGCCACAAACTCACAAGTAATCTCCCCACAGGTCTTGCAACTCTTGTGTTTCTCAACAAATGCAATGAAGCGTTCTCTTTCCTTTACGAATTGTTCCCGCTGGTCCTTCAACTTCCCGCTAAGACCAACAAGTTCATCAATGTCTTTTTGCATTTCAAGCCGCTGTTCTTCAAGATGTTTCTGGTTTGCAGTGATTTCTAGTTTCTCGTTTTCTGTCCTTAGTCTTTCTACTTTCATTTCTTCCATTTCTCTTCGAGCCACTTCCCTTAAGTAATTAATATTGTTCAGTTCCCTCTCCCTTTCTTCCTCAAATGACTTCTTCCTTTCACTCAAAGAATTCTCCATCTCCTCCTGCCTCTTCTGCATTTCAGTCTCGAGTTCTCTTTTTTGCAGCTCAAAATCACGCAACATTTGGGTTTTGTCACTTTGAGTTTTCTCAGCCATCACTGCTTTCTCATGCTCCATGCTAGCAGCAAATGAATCTTTAGCCAGTTTGAGAGCTTCCAATTCCCTTTGAACATAATCCTGTGTAACCTGCTTCTCATTCTCTAACCTTTCCTCTTCAGATCTCGTCAGCTTTTCTAACTTTTCCTTTTGTACAGTCACCTGCTCTAGCTCCTTCTTAATCTCAGCTCTTTTTTCATCCAGCTCTTCCCACTCTTTCTCAAACTTCTCCCTTTCCTGCTTCAACTCCTTACCTTCCTTCAAAAGCAGTTCCCTCTGCTGTCTACCCTTGTCTATCTCTAGTTTCAGTTCTGATTGCAGGCGCACAAATTCTGACCTCTCTTCTTCAGTTATTTGAAGCCTTTCCCTCTCTTCACTAATCTTCAGTTGCTGTTCTTCAATCTCAGCCTGTATCTTCCCAAGCTCCGCCTTGAGATTAAGCAAGTTCTCATTATCAACAAGCATTTGTTTCCTTTCATTCTCCAACTTTTTCTCATCAACTTTGATGGATTTCTCTCTTTCCTTCAGAGCTTTCGACCTTGATTCAAGGTCCTTCTCTTTCTCTTTAAATTTCTCTAGTTTCTTCTCATAGGCCTGTTCACGTTTTGCAACCTTCTCCTCCAGGTGTTTGATTTCGGCTTCTTTCTTCTCCACTTCAACTGCCTTGTTTTTCAAGTCCTCGTCAAAAACTTTACTCTTTTGTTCCATTTCCAATTCAAATTCGTGTTTCTTTGCATCCAGGATGGTCTTGTGTTCATCCAGAAGTTTCTGAATCTCAACCTGTACAAGTCCCATACAGAAGGTAATAGTCAATAACACGATAGCAATTATAAAAGATAGTGATTGAGAGTCACAGAAATTTTTCTTTTTCTTTCTCAGCACAATTGTAGTTTCATTGGTCACTTTTGTCCATGCTCCACCCATTGAGAAAGAGAGAGAAGAGGCCACTTCTCCAGTAATGATAAGACAACAATAGGAATGCATTGCCAATATGAGAAAAGAAATAGAGTAAAACACGAGGGAAGGAAAAACAAAAACAAAAAAATTTGAATGATTTATCTTCCTTTTTTTTTCTTTTGGGGTGGGAGGAGCAAAAGAATGAAATTCACTTTCTTAGACCAGGCAAATTTTAGTCAACTACTATACCATGTTCAAGGAATAGAGTAATGTCTGAGCATTTGCGTTTGTATGCTTTTCTTTTTTCCCATTGAAAAGTGGAAATTTATACATCGGATGCACTCTCCACTGAAGTCCTCAGTCTGGGAACAGCTCTTCTGCTTTACGCTTGAACATCTTCCAACCACTGTCCAGATGCCATTTCTCATGGCATCAGCTGCCTGCTTTAGATAATATAAATAAATAAATAGACATAAATTTCAATTTCATATTTAAAAAAAGTTTGGCAAGAAAAAGAAAAGGGAAAGAGAAAAATAACAAATAAAACATTAAAATACAAAATAAAGAAAGAAGTAAAACACGTGCCTTCTCTTTAACAGCTAGGTTTGCCAGCCTCCTGCTTATATCGTCTTCTTTCTCTTTCAAAGTTGAGTTGGCTATGTCAATCTTCTTTTGTGCCTCTTCAAGGTCATTCTGTTTCTGATTAAAGATTGTGTCGTTCTCATTTGCCCTCTCCTCTCTTTGGTTGAGCAATCTTCGAAGTTCAGCCAGCCTTTCTTCTCCCTCTTGTAATTTTCTTTCCCATTCTCGTAAGTCTTCTCTCTGTTTAGATAAAGTACTCTCATGCACTTCTCGCCTGAGAAAAAAATGGGAAAAACTGTCAGTTAAAACAAAAGTTACATTTTATGATAACATCTATCTATTCTTACTCCATGAATTTGCAACATTCAGGGAAATGAAGACAAGAGCTGTGATGAGCAATGAGTGTTGAGCATACTCTGTATTAAAGGATAGCCGTTCCCTTCGAATTGCATTTTCTCGAACCCCCACTTCATGTGATTTTCTTTCAATCTCCGAACTCTTTCTGCTCACCTCTGCAAGCTTGGCATCAGCAGCATGTAACTTTGATTCCACCTCCAAAGATTTCTCTTCAATGCTAGTGATGAGTGCATTAGCTTCAGCCAACTTCGAATCAGACGTAAACTTGATTTCTGCATATTCCGATCGCATCTCGCGCAAAGCCTTCTCTAGCTGCAGCAACCATGATGACATTAGAAATACAAAGCCAAGAAATGATATTTTATACCAGGAAATGATATTTTATTCCAAAGGATCAGAATAAACCTCAACTAAAATAGTCTTTACTTAAGCCAAGACTACTCAAACAAGTGGGAATGAATCATTAAAAGTCCCAAAATATGTAAAAATATATATAACAATCCATAAATATAAAACTGTTCACAACCAGCTCCCATACAAAATACATATCTCGGTTGTTTGGTGCAGCTTATGGACTTTTTAATTTGCAAATCTGTGCCATAGTGTTTGCGGCAGATTTGAGGCAGAAATAGCCTAAATAAACTGGGGGGGAGAAAAAAAAAAGATTATTGGGAAGTAGGGGGAGAGATTTTAACAGACACCCATCATGTTAACACATAATGTGCACTCAAATTAAAATGGACAGCCCCCAGTATTAATTCAATTCAACCTCCAAATCTTAGTATGAGAATAAACAGTTTGTTATACCAAAGTCCTACTCTTCAGGACAGCATGTATGTATCTACATAGCCATAAATGGTACAGGTTAATGTAACCAAAATATAGAAGTCACATTACCCTCAAACCAAATGCTATGTAACTTAGAAAAGATTGATTCAGAAATACATTCATAGCTTTTACTCCCCAACTTTTAAAAAGAAAATAGGGTTTGGCACAATCTAAGTGGGTTTGGATTATGTTTTATAATCTAAGTGAGTTCACACTTGTACAGATCAAAATAGTAAGACCCGTTCATAATTATGAAGGAAATCGATGGTCCACAATCTGTCTTTTTATCACAGTTAGAACAAATATTATAAAGATGTATATATAGTAAATTATTTCTTACAATAATTAATAAAACACACGAATCTGCTAAACTGCACAAATTGTATATTGACTTCAAGACTTTGTTAAATTGGAACTAAACATGTAAATCATAGATAAGATAAGCCACTGGTGTTGCTGGCTCTTTTATTAATTCTTCCACCAAATCATACAACTCTGATCCATATATAGTCCAAATCATAATCTTAAAAATTTTCTTTCCAAGGAGAACAATGGGAAGAAAGAAGCCGCAAAAGGAACACATATCTATTGGATAATAAAGCACAGACCTCCACCCTAGTGGTGGTGACAACTTGTTACTGCTAGGCCTATAACATGATTAAAACATGCAATCCAAAAAACAAATCACTAGGCTTTCAGCATCTTTTGGTTACTCTGATTCAAATATAGAAGTGAACATATCAATATAAAATAATAACAAGCACATCTCTTCTTCAATCATCAAACTCCTTTAGGTAAATTATTCTTCCAGCAACTTCCATGCTAATTCAGGATGAATAATCAAGTGTAAATATGACAAATAAATGTTGGTCTTTCCAAAGAATCCAAAATGTTGGTCTTTCCAAAGAATCCAAAATGTTGGTCTTTCCAAAGAATCCCGTTGTTGAACGTTACACATAGACATTTGGGAAAATAAACTTTTAGAATAGCTAATGCAAATTTTTTAAATCATGTTGTTCAATTATGCTATGCCTCTATAACTCGGTTCCATATCAATATGGTTTTCAAGCAAACACAGTGCAACTCATTGCACTTGATTCTTTAAACCATACAACAGATTCTTGCAATCAGCAAATGATACTATACTAAAACAGATCACAACATTCACAGCATTTACCAAATTGAAAATAAAGGAAATTCAAGAGGGTAGGGTAAGCACAAATCATACATCAAGCACACACTGCTTCTCCACACCCAAGGCCTTCCTCAAATTCTCTTCTCGCTTCTCAATCTCAGACATTGCAATTAGATGTGCCGCTTGTTCTCGTTTAAGGGAATCCCTTGTTTCTTCTATAGCTTGCTTCAGCTCTTCATACTTTGAAGTCCATTCCTTTTTCTCAATGAGGAGAAGGCCCATATTGTACTGGTATTCAAAAAGCTGCAAACAAAATCAATTCAGACAGATAAGACCCCACACTGTATTTGATTAGCACGAAAACCTCCACCTTGCCTCCCCTTTTCTTCTTTTCCCAGCACCCCCAAAGAATAGATAAATAAGTACCTTGGGGGGGGGGGGGGGGGAAAAATGGGAATTTAAATATCTACAGAAGGCCCAAAACGGGAAGGATGTGACAAGCGATATAATGACGGGAAAAATAAAATAAATCACACATAATTAAGCATAAAACCCAGCAATAATAGAGAAGGGTGGATTGCTTGCAGGACAAATCCAAAAAAAACAAACAGTACTATATTTTACATTTCATATACTGAAATATAAACCCTAAGAATCACGGACACTCCCAAAAAGGTGTGTCATGTCCGACACCAATACTTGTTAGACACTTCGCGACATGTGTCGGGCACAAATCTAAATGTGTTATATTATTATTATTGTTATTTTTGAGTAAATTACACTTACCTACCCTGAGGTTTATAAGAACCTTAAAAACAAATAAGAATAGAAGTATTGCATGTGGAGAACTTTTGCGCCGTTCATATTACTGTAGATAATGTTCTCTAAATGATGTGATAAGACAGCATATTGTCATAAAATAAATAAATAAATACACCAGCCACAAGCATCTCCAAAATTCAAACCAAATCAAATTGAGTCAAATAAAATATGCAATGATAAACTAGACTCCTGATGTCTTTAAGATACATGGTTTGATTCAATTCACAACTCGGAAAAAGATAAATTTGATTCACAATTTGATAACTAAGAGGTGGACACGTCCCAATGCCATGGGTTGTAACTTTACCAGAGACGAAGTCATACATCTCAGCTATAATTTATACTGAGCATCTATGTCAATGTCAGCATACTCTATTAAGAAGTGATGCTCAGTACAAACTTTTATATCCCCATTAGCTCGTAATGTTTCCAATGTTAAAACTGTCACTCCACTTAAAGATGGTTCTTAAGTCTTCAAAATAAATAAAATATAAAATAGGTTCTTACCCAGTAGAATATGGAATTGTAATATTGGAACACCATCGAAGATGCACAGTTTGAATACTATAATTCAAAGGTACCCAGGAACACACACACACACACCAAAAAAAAAAAGTTTAATTTCCTAGTGATCCAACCACAACTCAATCATCTACCCCCAATTAAGGTCATTTTGTTATCTAAAATTTCCATTAATAATCAACATGGGCTCTCAAAATCAAGAAAGACTGAAAATAACAAGAATTAAGTCCCAAAACCAAAGAGACCCTTTTTTTCCACTTCGTTTGGGAAATTGAAAGAAACCCAACAAAACAACACTGAAAATATGTAAAATTGTTGATTCACTCACCTCATTTTCGAGCTTTGAAATCTTCTCAACAGTTGTTTCGCGGTCCAAGGCCGCGTCTTTCTTAGTCCCACCATTTTCGCCTGATAAACCCATCGGCGGAAGTGTCGTGGACTCAATCAAAGCCACACCCTTACCCCTCGAACCCGTCTCGCCATTCCTAGGGTTTGAATTAGGATCCAAATCCGAACCAGAACCAGAACCAGAACCAGAACCAGACCCAGAACCGTTCTTCTCACTCCTGGGTGTGAGAGGCCAACCAGACCACACCTTCCTCTGCGGCGTAAACATCACGAAAGTTCCCCCAAAGTTGAAGATCGCAGATCCACCCTCACACTCACAACCAAGCACTCCCAAATCAGAATTTAGGGCCAAAAAAAAAATTCAAAAGAACCCTAAATTGAAGAGTGAATAAGGAAGAAGAAAGAGAATCGATGGGCCGGACGTGAACAGAGTTCCCAAATTCCGGCGAATTGCAGCGGTGAAATCCGCAACGTCTCGAAACGAACCTCACTCTCTCTAACTTTCTCTCTCTCTCTCTCTAACTTTTTCTCTCTCTCTTGGCTTTTCAGAGCCACCTTTCGTGCTATGCGCGGATTACTCACGTTCTTTCTTTTTTATTAAGAATGTGTACTGGTAGGAGAGCAATTCAGTTACTTGATTTTACGTTTTTGCCCTTGGTTAAGCCTAATACTGACCCTTAAACCTAGGGTATATTTGGAATTTAAATATGCGGGCACCTTTGAACGGAACGTGGGGGTTCGTAAGTGATTGCCCTTTGTTTGTTAGAGGCTGCTGTAAGTTGAATGTGGGTTGACTGATGGGTTATAAGTGTGTAAAATATTACTTAATTACTTGTTAATTTTAGCTTAGTAGTATTTTGAAAAGTTGATAAACCAATTGCCCTTTGTTTGTTAGAGGCTGCTGTAAGTTGAATGTGGGTTGACTGATGGGTTATAAGTGTGTAAAATATTACTCAACTACTTGTTAATTTTAGCTTAGTAGCATTTTGAAAAGTTGATAAAAAATTAATTTTTAAAATTTTTTAATTTATTTTATTTTCTATGAATAAAAAATATGAAAAATAATTTAATTTAAAATAGATAAAAAGTCAAAATTTTGTGTTTCTAATTCTTCTCAAAAGAGTCATTAATTTGATTTATAATTTGAAATTTATAAGTTATTTTTAAAGTTGTCTTCTCTTGTCATAATTAATATTTTTTTATTTTTAATAAAATATCAAAATAAAAATTAATATATAAGAGATCTGATATGTGAAATTTAGTATATATATTTATACATATGAAAAATCTATTATGTTATATATATAAAAAATATTATGTAAATTCGTATTATGTTTATACAAATATTTAAAAATTATTTCAAATTATTCTCCAATCAATTAATAAATTAAAATCATAATTTAATTATGAATAATAAATTTATGTGTCATCTGCAATTTGATTAGTGTAAAAAAAGGGTATAGAGTAGGAGTGTTTGAGTAAATTGAAATGGCTTTTTTAAGTGAAATTATGTTAAGATTTTAAATAAATTATCAAATATTTTATCAAATCTCTATATAAATCTCTAGATCCCCACACTATTTAATAAAATATTTGATAATTTATTTAGAATTTATAATTTTTTTTAAAAAAAAGTTTTGTGGAGGGGGGAGAAAGAGAATATACCCGAAAGAATTGAAATGCGACGGCGTGTATAAAGGCTGCTGGAAACTTGGGGAATGAGGCGAGTTGAGAGATGTGAAGAAGTATCCCCCTTCCTTTTTTTTTTTTTTTTTTTTTTTTTTTTGGGGGGGAAAAAAAGTAAAAAAAAAAAAAAAAACTGTGTTTAGAAAAATTTTACAAAATAAAATACAAATTCAATGGTGTGATGCTTGAAGCCCTATTTGATGAATGATAAAATTATTTCAGCAATTTAGACAATTTGATGAAGCAGTTTTGAAACATGATACTTATTGGACATGAATGATATTGTAAAAAATAAAAAGTTATAATTTACACTAAAAAAAGTATAAGTAAGTTTTATATAATAGAATAGATAAAAATATATGAAATGATAACACATATATATGGAATGTATTTCATTGTATAATTATAATGTAATTATCTTTGGGTGGATTTTGTTGGTAAGATCCATTCACAAGGATTTTCTTTTGTTATCATATGCTTTAGCAAAGAGAATTTCTTAGAGTTCGATTTTGTTCATTTAATTAGTCGGTGTGTGAATGTCATTATAATGGATTGGTTTGTTTTTGTCAACAAAATGAACATAAAGTTTATTTAGAATGTTTATTCGATCCAAAAGTTATCATAAAGATAATTTCTTCAAGTGATATTCACAAATGTAGTAATAAATTTCATTATAATAATCAATTAGATATGAAAGTAATATTCTCTCATCTTATGTGAATGAACAAATTATTTTATTATTTTTTATTTCTAAACATATTTTTTAAAAACACTTAAATAAAATAAATTATTCAAAACACTTAAATCTCAAGCATTGAGGATGAAATAATAAATTTGTGACCAAAAAAAAAATGTTTTTGTCTGGTTCTCAATTTCTTTAATTAATTGAAGTACACCAATCAATCATCATCATTGGTGATTACGATAAAGCCTTAACTATCCATCAGGCATATAAAAACTGTTATGATTATGAACACATCACTGTTTTTCGTTGTGGTATAGTTGGGTAACTTTTACTTTTTTTTATTATATTTTGGTTCATAAAAAAATATTACATTTAGATTTATGCTTTTTTTTATAAAAATAAATTTAAAATATTATAGATTTCTAATAAATTATTAAGTATTTTACACAATATTCACATGAGTGTGGATATCAATATCTCATATCCACGTGATTAAATGATAAAAATAATTAAAAATAGTTGGTGAGAGGTGACTAATAGGAAAAAGAAATATGGTTTCGAGTAGGGGTGAGCAGCGGATATACTGATCCGCCAAAACTGACCGAACCGAACAAATCCGCCGCATTTTGGACGGATGCGTGATGACAAGCGGACGGTTGCGGATTGATTTTCTTCAATCCGCTAATTTGGCGGACGGATGGCGGATTTAAGGTTCCTTTGGCCGCAACCGAACCGCCAAACCGCGAGCACCCTTAGTAATTTATAAAACTTTGTGTTTTCAATTTGTTTAAATATTTTGTTTGTGTTTTCAATTGAAAAAGAGTTCAAATATTCTGTTGAAAAAAAGTTTTCAACTTGAATATATTTTTTGAATTGAAAAAAATAAGCGTATTATTTATCTATATTTTTTTGTTTTTAAATCTAACTCTAAAAGTAATAAATAGAAAATATGATATATGTTAGTTGGTTTTTATTTTCAAAAATATATATAAATATAACAATACAGAGACATAATCTCTACTATTGCTCTATTTATGGTTTTGGTGGTTTGAATTGTTTTTATATTTTAAGAACCACAAATTGTAATATTTTATATGGATGAGGCATGCTGTGATTGTAATATGTGAATGAGGCATGCAGTGATTGTGATATTCTAAAGCTTCAAACTTTCTTTCGTTGGATGAGGCATGCAGTAATTGTAATACTTTTTTAAGTCATTGACTGTAATATTTTCTCTTCTTTTTTTTTTTTTTTGAGGAAGTGCACAAGTTGAACAATGTTAAAAATTTATAAAATTTCAAACCGTCAAACCGATTCGCATCCATCCGCCAATCCGCTCAATCCACATCCGCCGAATTGGCGGACGGATGCGGATTATTTTTTCCAATCCGCCAATCTGGCGGACGGATGGCGGATTGAAGGTTTCGTGGCCGCAACTGACCCGCGCCCACCCCTAGTTTAGAGCACTAAAAAATGAGCATTAAAAGAGCATTAATTTGTCCTTTTCTTCTTTGTATTTTGTCTTTTTCCTTCTTTTTTTTTCTTTTTTCTTTTCTTTTTGTTTTTGTTTTGGTGCATGCCAGCTCAGTAGAGTTACTTTTAGAGTAGTTCTACTAGTGGTCTATATTACCGCTGATAGGAAAAATATATTTTATTTATAAAATTAAATGTGGTGTCCCTAAGTCTTATAAATTCCTAGTTAAGTTAATGTACAACAATTTTCTTTTGCTTTCCCTTTAATTAATATTTGGATTCTATCCCTCTTGAAAATTTTATTTGTTTGTATAAGAAATAATTCGTTATTTTTAGAATAATTAATTCTTAACCATAATTATGAGAACTGACCAATTTAGAAGTACAACGTTATCTCTATTTGAGCTCATCTGTTTTCTGTGTTAGCCTAATTAGATTGGGCTCCATGTTATTATCACGTACATATTTTCTTCCTACATACATATAAGGATTTTAATTAGATAATAAATGTACGTGAAACTTAAAAGTGAAAAAAATTTAAAAAGAAGGAAGAAAAAATTGTAGGAATTGTGAATGTGGCTACCATTGAGACTTCACTATTTGAATTATTGTTAAATATTTACGTATGATACTTATATTGTATTGAGAAATAATGATGACGTGTATAAGTTTATAAAGGTCATGAATCACTATGAATAATCTAAGCTCATCACTTGGATCCCAATACATAACTCAGCTGGTGAGGTCCAGGACAGCTGGAATCCAACATGGCATAAAGAGCCACTGACATTCAAACACATGGCAAGTGAAGGACGAGTCACATCAAAAGACAAAGATCTGCAAAGTTATTGCCACTGCACATCACCATTAATGCAGCCCATCACATCATTTATTACGACAACACCTCTTCGTCGGAACAGGACCCCCTTACCCTGAACAGGGGAAGCTACAACATAGACTTTCGGCGAGGAGGTCAGGTCGGAAGGGACAGGGAAATGATTACCAAAGGATATAAGCAAACGTTGAAGACAAGAAGAAGGTTAAGCTTTTCTATCTCTAATCTCTCCCTCTACACTCTACTTCTCTTCCTAACTTGCTCGTCGGAGGGTTCACTGGGGGACTACCCCGTTCCCCATTGAACTTGTTTGTAGATCATCCGGTGGGCTTGATCATTTGGATCTGGGCTTGAGGAGCTTGGACCAGTCCGACCCATTCACTGGGACAAACTGTACCATCAGTTGGCGCCGTCTGTGGGAACGCTTTGCTCCTCGCGCCAGTTATGTTCACTGTCGCCGGAGACCCCGTTCCAACAACCTTTTTCTCCTACCCGTCAAAGTGTATGGTCACGACTAGATCCATGGCTTCTCACAATAATGCCGCCGACCATCAGGCCGACCCCCCCAATCCAAACAACCCACCGCAGTATTTTATCGAACTTACCAACAGCATTAACCGCATGGCCGAGCAAAACCAGGCCCCTGATAAATGCTTTACTCCAAAGAAACCTTCCGATGCGTCCTCTACCACCTCCAGATATTCCACCCAACCAAGAAAGAGCCCCGAGCCATACTATTCCGCAACCCCATCCACCCAACTGGGAAGGTTTGCAACCTCCTCCCCCACATATAAATCTACCACCTCTACCCCCACACCCGTCGGTCATGGCACCAGCCCCTGAAGGGGAAGCCAGCAGCGTCTAGCCCCCATTGACTGACCATGGTGACCACG